ACCCCACAGTGACCCTCAAGGGAAGCCCTCCATTCAGCTAGCAATTTTCGTTAGGGTGCTTTCCCCTGAAAGGTAGTGGATTGGAAAAGGATGCTCATTGCCCATAGAAGCTTTAAGGATTAGAAACCAGTCTGGCAGAGTGACCAGTATGCACTTCAGTTCATCTTTACTGAGTAAAAAAGGAACAGGTATACCTGGAGTTTCTTGATACTGCTGCCTTGAGAGCTGAAGGGTGGGAGCTGTGATGGGGAACTCCGTAGAAATGCTCTTACTGAATGGTGCCATGTGCACAGGTAGTTGGGAGCCTGTGTACCGTGGGAGGGAGGGGAAGGGAGCACTTCTACTCAGGCTTTCCTTTCAGAAAATGCTGATTTTCGGATTCAGAAATAGTAAGAGGCAGTAGCATTCACCTGACTTTCACCTTCTGAAAGTTAGGATTGCATTTAAGGTATCATTAAATTCCTTCTCTGGGGAGCGAAGAGGAGGCCTCTCCACCTCTCAGGGGTTCATCTGGTTGGTCCAGAAAAAGGTGAATCACTCCCTTTCTCCTTCTCACTTTCTCTTTCTCCTTCTCTTTCTTCTCTCCCTTCCTCATCAGTCTAAGAGCAGACAAGACAATTAACTTCAGCTGATTACCCAGCCTCCAAGATAGCTCAGGTCAGCTAGAATATCTCCTAAAAGGCAGGGATGGGGACCGGTTTTTGCTTTCATCAAGGAACCCTTGCCAGGATACCAAATCATACCTGCTGCACATTGGAAAAGATAACACGATGGGTGTGAAAGCACAAGTTTGACGTAACAGTGTGAAGGCAGGAGGAAAATCCTTTTTCTATCCCAAGACAATTAATTCATTTGAAAAACACATTTCACAGGGGTGCACTGATGGGGAGGGGAAAACTTCTGTCTTTGGGAAATAGTTTTTTCTATCGAAAAATGTTTTCTTCAGGGTGGACTGGTAATACTGTGTCCTGGGTCAAGGCTAAGTGTGCCTCTGCTTAAATGGCAGAGCTGGGGAGGAAGATGCCCATGCGCTACATGGCTCTATGGGCTCTTGTCCCAGAGTGAGTCTTCCTAAGGGCTTAGAAAGGAAGGAATTAAAGGTTATGAAGAGCTTGTGCAGAGCATTTCCTTACAAATACGGAAGTAGGTTTATTTCTGCCTCTGCTGGTCAGACCACACAAGGAACCACACAGCATTTCAGGATGCAGAAATTAACAGAGAGGGAGAGGCTGTCTCGAGGGGCCAGTCTGGGGAGGGAGCTTGGAAAGAGGAGGCAAGCCCAGGGAAGGTGTTCCAGATTTGGGGAAAGAAGTGCAGCCTGGAGTAGGAGGGAATAAGATATATTCTTGCATATTCTTCTGTTCTAGTGCAAACAAAAGCTGGTGTTCAGCACATTCACATTCATGAGCAATTATGTGGAGACAGTCACATAGTTTAAGCACACCAGAGCTACTTCAGACAATTGCCAGGTGAAGAGACAGTGGATGGAGGAAGAAAAAGGGTTCAGGGCAAAACCCAGGCTTTTTTTCCCCTATAAAACTTAGTCTCAAGTTCATGTTCTGCCTGATTTTGAGCAAGTGAAAGAGTCACACTCAATTTTGCTGCGGCAAGATGAGGATCAGATGATGTTACAGCATCTGATGTTACAGCAGCAAGAATACCAGATGTTGCAGTGGTAGGAATGGCTACCAGTTAAAAGTCACACATACTGAGAGACCTCAGTGGATGTCAGGTGCCCTTTCCTATGGAGATAGTCTTGTGTTTGACGTGAGTTCTTAAGGACCTTTGTAGGTCCCTGCCAACCCAAGCTGTTCTATGATTACCACCCCTGGCCCTTCATGATCACTTCCCCTTCTCAGGAGCCATTTCTGTAGCAACTTGTTTGATGCTTTTGGTGGGTCTCTGCTTGAGCTCACATTTGCTGCTCTTGGTGGTTTGTTTGGGCTTTCATTCCTATTCCTTGCTGCCTTTGGCACAGGACATCCTTGGTAGTATTCTGGAGCACTGTTATTTCAGGGTGTGAAAGATTCTTAGGCCTTTAATCTGGGAACACAAGCTACATCTGTCACCTGGGTATCTGTAGCTGTTTCTAAGCAACCACAAGAGTTTATTTTTCTTCTGCAATTCATATTTAAGAAATAATTTGCTCATGCATGAACCAGAATCAGCCTGAGCACCACCCCAGGAGACAGAAATTGTAAACTGTAATTTAGGCTAATTCTAGTCTAAAGCATGAATTAGAGTATTTTATATAATCTTGGAAAATATACCATATAAATATATGTAAGCACAGAACAGGTACAATTAATGTGAGCACAGTAGGAAGCTTTAAGTAACTCTGGGAATGTGAGAAACCAAGTTGGAACATATTCTTGACATGTAAAAATATTTCCCACCTGCCTTGTTTGCATAAGAACAAGGTTTTAGCAAGTACATATTTGCATGTCAAAGTTAAAAGTGGGGAAAATATTTTCACCCTTATAAGAAAAATGCATAATCTTGGCAGAGGCAATTTGCATTTAGTAAGTTTAAAGTATCTAAGTCCTTTCACGCTCTACGGAAAGCGTATGAACTTGCGACAGGGATTCCACTGCAATGAGTGATGTGCAGAGGCACTCACGTGGAGCAGTAACTGATCCAATGCCTTCCCATGCATTCATTTGTAATTGGTTGTGGCAGTCCCCGGCAATTTGTGCTTCCCAGTTTCATCCCACTGTCCCGTGTCCCAGAGTGAGATGGTAAGTTGAGGTTTCACATGCTGCATGCTTAATTGAAAGTGAGTACTCTTGCAGATGGAAGTGTTCTTAGAAGTTTAGAAGTACTCTTCTGAGCTGGAGGAAATCTGGAATGCTGAAGCGATACCTGATTTGGTGCCACTCCTCCCGCACACACAGTGGTTGGCAAATGCTGCGCATCTGGAGCCTGTGAATCTGTAGAGATTCTCTTCCACCTGTGAAGCATTCTGGAAAATGCATTTGGGACTAATTATGGCACCTTTTAGACTATTACTAACCTAGCTTTAGGCCATCACTTTGAAGGTATATTACATTCCTTCAGAAACAGTCTGCAAATGTCCTGGTGCTTAAGAAATAGGGATTGCATGGACAGGCTTCATGGGTGATTTAACTGATGTGCTGGAGATCATAGATAAACGAGATCCAGTTGTATCATTCCTCTTCAAAATAAGGCACTAATTATGTATGTAAAAGTGAATGTAAAATATAACACTGCCATGTAGCTGTTGAGATACTCGTGACCACTGTGTCAAAGGAGCTGGAGAAAGCTGCAGGCTCACTGTAACAGAGCAGAAAACGAATCTCACATTGAAAAGGCACAACTGGGAATCAGTAGATCTGTCCTGGAGTTTGCCCAAGGATTGCTCTCTGGATCTGAACTGAACGTTACACAGATTTTGAGTTGTGAATTTGCCTGTTGCCCAGCTTGTTGCTGCGAAGTGGGGTTCTTCTCGATGTCTTGGGTGTAAACACCTGATGCTCTAGTAGTAATTAATGTAACACGTTAATAAAAGGGCATACACTTCATTTTTGCCTTGTATTAGTTCACTTCCTGCTCCATTGCGTTTAATGTGTTAGCTGGAAGGAAAGTGAAATTAAAAGAGTTTTTGGAAGACTGAAAGGAAGATGTATTTCCTTCTTTTAAGTGTCCTAGACAGACCTTTTGATTTCAGCCTATCCTCTTGCTGCTGGGGGGAAGGTGGGGGATTAAAGGTCAAGATTGCGAAGATCCTGATGATGGAAGCAGATGCACGTGGTGTCCTGTAAAAGTAGACGTGGTTGTTTGAATACAGTGTTCAGAGTACAGCCCAAGTAAAGCTAATGCATTGTAAGACAGGATGAGATGTGATTATATGTGTTGTCACTGCCGTAAACTGGAGCAATAAAAGCTCTTTGAAACAATCAGGTGTCTTGTGAATGGATTTCAGCTCCTCACAGAAGATTAACAGCACTTCTGATGGTCGTTAGAGCCACAGCAGGAGCTGTGTTTGTACTCCAGTTCGGAATAAGCCGGTTCAGGACATCTTGGCGTAGCCTGATCCCAATACTGTTGTGGCAGAGACTGGGTGTTCTTGGAATGTTTTGGTTATTGACCTAATGGATACGGTCTGTGTTTGTGTGAGCGTGTGCAAGCGCATGTAAAATGTGGACTGCTGGTCTCTGATACTGCAAGACACTGCCTCGGCCTAGTCCTGCCCAAAAAGAGTTGCTAGCAGAATGACCACAGCTGTATGATCCAAAAGCTGAGGAGGAATTCCTGAGCATCCTGGAGCCCCTTCTTAAATCCATGTATTCTGATGGGAGGGTGCTGTGATTTAGGGTTTTGCCACACACTGAACTGAATTCAGTAGATGTGTTTTATACGTATGAAGTTCCATTTCAAGACTGGGGGTTCATATCATGTATCTCTGTGGCAGTGTCCAGCCTGCGCCAACTCCCTTGGTTTCCATAAGCTGACCTGCTGTATTTCCCTGCTTTACCTGGTTGGTGGTGGCTAGCACACAAACACATGCTGGGAATTCACTCCCAGGGCAGATGGGTGACTTTCGGAGTTCCTCTTTGCCTTGTCCCTTCTCTCTAGGCTTGGCCACTGGTAGCAGTGGGTGGCATGATGGGCACCCCTCTGGTGAAGGTGTTGTGCTCACTGTCAGGCAGGGCAAACTCTAACATTACCTTTTACAGCCTCACATTAATAAGATTGGAAGAAACCTTTTTAGTGTTGTCTCAGCTCTTCAGCCAAACTGTGAACTCTCCTATTCTTTTTGGCTTTGAAATGCTGATTCTAGCCTTCCTGTGGGTTCTTAAACACCTTCTCAAATGACCCATTTTAATAACCCAAAAGCCATTATATAACGAGCAGCCATAATTTAGCCCAAAGCTCTAGGGGACCCTTGCAGTTCAGCAATGAATAGTTAATGCAGTATAATGTTTAGCAGGTTATTAGCTTTCACTGTACAAATGCTGATCAGGGAATGCTTTTATAAGGTGTTTAAAAGAAAATGTAATTAACTGGTTGCGTGCTTCTGTTGCAGCTCAAATTGAAATTATTCCATGCAAGATCTGTGGAGACAAATCATCAGGAATCCATTATGGTGTCATTACATGTGAAGGCTGCAAGGTAAGCTTCTAAAATATTAAGTCTTAAAACAGCATTTAGTGTTTTGATAGTGATTATTTTCCTTCCTTTTTTTCTTAAAGAGCAAGCTTTGCACTATGGTTGGATTGGTGGATTCCAGTGCAAAGAACATGGAATCAGTTGGGGATTCTGAAGTACTGGGTTTATTTGGGTTTGAAATACAGCATTGTGTGACACACACAAACCCCACCCCAGAGTCTGGGACAAGCCTCAAAGGCCATGCAGTTGTACTGTGGGTGCTGTGAACTCTCGCTGTGGACAAGAGGTGCAGAAAGACAATCTGCTTCCAGCATTCCACAGAGAATCTGTTCTGTGGATTCACAGGGGAGTTTGTGCCTTTCTTGAATCTCCCTCTCTGTTTTTTGCTTTGTGAATGGCTGAGAAGCCGTGCTGCCAGACGTGAGAGCTCTCTGACTCTCAGTTTTCTTTTGTCTTCTGCTACGGGTGCAGATCCGTTCTGGTTGGTGTGGGAGATGATGTCGCACAAAACTGTTCAGTGCCTGTTCCTTGCCATGCAGCCATTGCTGTGTAAAGTTTAGGCTTTAGGTTTTTTCCTCATTTGTACCTTCAGTAACTCCGGTGAACAAGGGTTACACTAGAAGCATTTATGTTTTGTTTAGTTTGTCTCTCACAAGCAAGAATTAAGTCGGACAACGCTAACATTAGGCCGCAGTGCTGTGAAGCTAATCACTCCTTTCTGTCACTGGTGCACAGTTGCAGTACTAGCTCGGAGTGCCACAGTGTGCACAGCTGTGCTCTGGCTTCAGCTTTCCCCGTGTGTGCACGCGTTGCAATTCCATACTGATAGGTTTTTCTCCTGTTAATGTACATTTTTAGGTGTGTAGAATTTATATTTATGACAATTTTCAGTCCGCTGTCCTGGCTTGCTTGATACTACTACCCATCTTCTAACAGTAGGTTCCTTGCTTTTACCTTACAGAGATTTCTTGTGTTTTTCCAAGGAAGACTTTTGTATTTCCATGAGCACATTGTCTCAGTCTCATGGAAGTATTGGTAAGAAGGAAGGGAAAAACCTAAAACCCTAAGTCTGTTAGAATGACACAGGACAGCACCATCTGCTCTTTGTGGCTGCTGTTGCTGTGGGAAATGGCAGAAATGCACTAAAAAAGGGTTGATAATGAAGTGGCTCCTTTCTACGGCTTTATGTGGTCAAGCAGCATTTATCAGATTTCAGCTGTGAAGTGGCAGAGGGTTGCGGTGAGAATTCTGCTGTATGACCATCTTGTCGAAGAGGATCGAGTTATGTTCAAGGTCAGTCCTTAGGCGGGCTGGGGCCAGAGTACCCTGGTGTAACTGAGCCTCGAGATCTATGAGGAGCCACCTCTGTCACCAGACGGAGGTCAGCGCAGCGCTACCGCTCGCCTAGGCAGGGAACAGGCCTTTCTCAACGCGGCTTGTTGCAGAACAGGAACGGGCTGCCAAAGGAAAGGAAAGTTGCCAGCTGAATTATCTGTTGCTTCATCTTCATGCAGTTCCTTCACCTTGCCTTCTCCCAAGTCCTGTATGTGTGAGTAAAGCCCCTCCAGAATGCAGGAGGAGGCAGTGGACCCCATCAAGCGGTCCCGTTAGTAGGTAGCATTGCAGGGAAGAGACAGACATGTCCATCGAGCATCCCTCCATCAGGGACTGTGCTTTCCTGGGAATAAATGCAAATGTGAGTTATTAGGAGAAGAGTCCTTTGTGCACCTCCAGCAGTCAGAACATCAGACGTTAGCCTCACAGAAAGAAATGCGTGTGCAGCTCCTAATGTTTCAGAACAAATTATTTTCCTTGGAATTCTGTATAAACTGAATTCTCTGGGAGCTCTGTTCAACCCTTTGGCTGAGGCTGAGAATCCCCCAGGGTGGGCAGTTGGAAGGGTGGGAGGAGAGGCAGTGGACAGGAACGCTCAGCACACCGGAACTGCTTGAACCTTGCAAGCAGAGTGTGCTTGGTAAGACAGACAAGGGCCTGGTGAATGGAGCTAGACGTTTTCTCCTTCTCTTGGAGTAGCAGAGTGACACTTTCCAGCCATAAAATTTCAGGCAGGATTTGAAAGCCAATGAATATCAACTTAGTTAACCAAGTTATTCTCTTTCAGGAGGGAAATAACTCTGAAACTCACTCTTTAATGCCAGATGACCTGCGAGTGGTGACAGCTGGGGCAGTGCTAGTGGGCACAAGTCACAGGAGGAGTTTAAATGTTCATGACCGAGAGAGCATTTAAAATGCCCGACTGTAGCTGGTGGATTTTGTTTGTGCTACGCTTTGCCACAGTAATGTCAACAAAGTCTCACCCAACAGAACTATTTTGGCTGGTGAAAAAGTTGGCATAGCATGGCTTCTGCCGAGTGAGCCAGGTGTGTATTGGAATGGGGGTTTTCCCAGCTTTTCTGTGGCTGTGATCGCTGCAGGTTTGAGCACGCTTACATTGCTCTCCACGTTACGCTAAACCTTCCTTTGTAAGAAGCACTTTGCTGTGAAGACCCGATTCCCAGTCCTGTGCTCCAGTTCCTGGAGCTGATGTTCTGCACCAACAGACCATCCCAGAGAAGTCAGAGAGGTTCTTGCGCAGGTGCTACAAGCCCACGGTGCGTGTCTGGTGGCACGGTCGGGGCTTCAGCCCTCAGACGTGAACAGATTGTGCTGCCGCCCTCCCAGGCCAGGCCTGTCGAGAATGATGTACAGGCACCACCACCAGCACAAAGTGGGATGTTTTCAGCTCTTGCTGTTTTTCACTCTGGTTTGGTGTGAACTTTAAGGTTACTTAATAGTAACATTAACTTAAGTGTTACTGTGGCCACAGGAAGGGTAATTTATTTAAAAGCTGAAGTGAAGTTTTAGTTGCAGAGGCCACTTTGCAATCCTAATCTGCATCACGTATGAAATCACAGAAAGGCTCTTGTCAAATTGCTGATCCTGTTGCTCTTCTAGAGGCTTGTGACCCTTGCATTTCACATGGTTGAAAGTCTTCTGATCCATTTTCATTGTCAAATTACATTTCATGTAAGTACAATTGAAGATCTGTAATGAAGCCAGTTACTGTTTTGTGGAAGTTTTCGTTTCCTACCCCACTCTGATGTTACTGCCTGGTTTTATGAAGTTACTGGCTGTGTTTTGCACAAACGTAATTGAATACCCCCAACCCATCAAACTATTGAGCTGAATTTTAATCTGCCTTTAAGAAATAAAATGGAACACCCCCTCCTTTTCCCCCCATCCAGTGAAAAAAAGGTTTTAGCCAAGCACTGTTTTATGCTTTATCTGGGAGGGCTCCAGTGGCTTATTTAAATAAACTACATTTCAGAAGAACAGGGTTTTTTTCTATCCAACCATTGCTGGTATCCAGTATGCAACATACAGCAGGGGAAAAGGAAAGATTAATCATATAGAACTTTTACTCAGAAACATGGATGAAAAATGACACGGAGACGGTGTCACAACTCAGAAATAAAAGTTTATTCTCCTGTGTAAGTTTGGAAATAGTACTATTGCAGTAGCATTACTGAAAAGACTCCTATCTGTATGGGGCATTTCTTCAACCATTAGTTGCTGGGAACCCAGTAAGAACCTTTTGCTCTCTACTAGGGGTGATGCTAAGAGACTGCTTTGTACACAGCCATTGTTCTCATAGCTGAAAGCTGACTCCAGTTCAGCTTTGTCAGAAAACACCTGAATGCTTCAGAAGGACATAGCAAAGCATGTAGTTTGAAATTAAGTTCTTGTTAATGAACTGTGTCTGTTAATGTGCAGGCGCAGTTACTTGCGCTGCCAGCGCTGTCAGTTCATGCCCAGCTGACCCACAGGTGCCTTAGTGTGCGCCCCTCTCCCCTTGCCTGCAGCGCTTGGTCTCAAAGCCATCCCTGCAGGGCACTGCTGGGCACTGCTCACTTGCACAAATGTTTATAGGTACCACCTTTTGCCTCCTGTCTGTTTTAAGACCAAAGATGGTCTTGTTCATTTTAACTACCAGGGATGTCTGTGTGTGTTACCTGAACAGTCACTTCCCACCTTGCATTGCTTCTGGTCATTCATTTCCTTTGTTCACTTTCTTTACCAGCCAACCTGCCATTACTGTAGTGTTGCAAACATTGAACTCAGACTCAGGCTTTGAAGGTTCTCTATTTTTAAATTTTTTCCTAGCCAATTCCACGCAAAACACATTAGAGAAGAGATGAGCCCTGTTACAGCGTGGGCAATCAGGAGCCCTCTGTA